CGTTCATAAAATGTCGCCAACCCATCCAATTCAGTAACTTTCGCTATTCCACCAACGCGCTGACCAGGGAAGTTTCTAGCTAAAGCTTCTAGCTTCCAGCTGAAGTTTGCCTTGATCAGGGGAACCTGGGGGACAATGCACACCCCTTACATTTTCAGAATAACTTTCTCTCTAACAGGTATTAATTAGTGCGCTGAATCCATATTACATGCCATTGAGGCAACACACTAAAGCTTAATGCTAATGTATTAAATGTGACGAAACACATAATCAAGCAATTCAGCTGCGGTACATTTGCTTTGTCCCACGGTGCACTGCCTTAATCACACTTTACAACTTATTTATGGATTAATATGTGTTATCTCTATTATATCCATGGGCGTATGTGGGGGGAGGGGGACGCACTGGCATAAAACTAATATTTTATGTTAAATGTGGGGGGGTCCAAACGTATAATTATGGAATGTCAGGGGGACACGTCCCCTTCAGATTTTATGGCGGCGACGCCCATGATTATATCGGGTATCGACCATATATAATATGGATACAGCGTACTAATTAATAACTTAGAAAGTTATTCTGAAAATGCAAGGGGTGTGCATTGTCCTCCAGAGTCCACTGATCAAGGCACACTTCATAGGACATGGCTGTCCCATTTTAAAATTGTTTCAGAGCTGTTAACCCCTTATATAGTGTGTTGCCCCATTGCACTTTAAATGGATGCAATATAATAATTAATAACTATTACAGACAAAAATAATCTGAAAATCCAAGGGGTGTGCATTGTTCCCTGTAGTCCACTGATCAAAGCAAACTTCACTAGATGTGTGCCTGTCTTGTCGATCTAGTTTTAAAGTTATTAACCCATTCATGTATTATCCCATTGCACATTATACGGATACCTTCGAACATTCAAAAATTTATTAAAAATCGTACGTAAAGCAATCTGGGAAATAAAGGGGTGTGCAACAGTCACCATGAGCCCAAAATGCTAAACCACCATGTCATTATAGCTGACAGGACCTATTATATTGGCTATTAACACGATTTTGCACAAATCACGAAATGGTTTGAAGCGCAAAAATAATCGGTGTGCATCGTTGTCTGTGTACTGGACATCAAGATTCTGATATTAAAAACGCCCCACCTTACTTCCGTTAAATGTTATTAAAGCCTGAAAACTGAATATCGAATATGAAGCTAATTTAACTGCGGTGCCCCAGGTAAACTTGACTTAGCCCCTCATCTTTTCAATACTATAGCTAGAAACTTCCCTGGTCAGCGCGTTGGTGGAATAGCGAAAGTTAATGAACTGGATGGGTTGGTGACATTTTATGAACGCGAAATATGTGTTGCATACACCGATTCCTAATAAAAGTACACTATTGTAGAACTACAAAGATGCAATTCCATGCTGTAAACTGGCTCCGGAGCTTCCCGCCATGTTGCTATGTTCTGAGGCATCATGTAGTGGGCGTGCTCAGATGGTTATAGGCGTGGTCAGTGTAAATTCCAACTGACCAATAGACGTGTAAGCTGCTAAGGCCCGCCCACCCGTTAAAACAGTGCCAAAAGTCAGAAGCAAAAAAACATTCCAAAAGGAAAAAAAAAATCCAAAAGCAAAGAAAAATATTCCAGAAGCAAAAAAAAAAATCCAAAAGCAAAGAAAAACATTCCAGAAGCAAAACAAATTAGAGAAGAAGAAGGATAAAATGATTTTATTAGACTTTTTTGATATTTGTAATACAAATTTTCATTCTGATACTTAATGATTTGCTTGCGGTTTTCAAAATTTTGATTGATACTTTTGGCACAAAATTAACTCCATATGAGAGTCTCTTAATGCTGTCATTGAGGAATGACATTGGGTCGTGGGGGGTCCGGAGCCTATCCTGGAAGCTACGGGCACGAGACAGGGAACAACCCAGGACAGGGGGCCAGCCCATCGCAGAGCACACTCACACACCATTCACTCACACACCATTCACTCACACATGCACACCTATGAGCAATTTAGGAACTCCAATCAGCCTCAGCATGTCTTTGGACTGTGGGGGGAAACCAGAGTACCTGGAGGAAACCCCACGACAACATGGGGAGAACATGCAAACTCCACACACATGGTCCCAGAGGCGTGAGGCAACAGTGCTAAACACTGCACCACCACACCGCCCCCTAAGAAGTCCTATGAAATAAATGTAATTAAAGCATTTTTGTCATTTATTCCTTACTT